TTTTTCCAAAACATTTTTTATGATATTGAATATTCTTATGATATTGTTTCTACGTGAAGTAAACATTTTAATTTTGCTTTTCTATCGAATAACGGAAGAAAATGAACTTTTTTCTTATTCCTTCAATTAAAATAAATTTTGTGTATTGATAGGAAATAAAAAGAAATTAAAGTAAAGACTGAACTATTAAACATCCTAATTAAAACACAAATGAAACATTTTTACTATGGAAACTTGACAAAAGAGTCCCAGTAAAGGAATTTAATACATCTTAGATAACGAAAAGCATTTAAATTCGAAAAGTGTTATTAATATTTCGATTCTAATGAAAACTATTGAGGCGAAAATTCAAAATCCTCTTTCTTAGCCTCGATAAATTAACGTTATTACTTACTGAAACGTGAGGAACGGAGAGAACATTTAAATTAGAAAAGCACAAATAGGAACCATAGGTATATTAAAGTAAATTTGGTATACTTTAACAATGTTTGCTAAATTTTAATATCTTTAATTCTTAAATTAAATATGTGCTTCATTGGAAGTGTTAAGCAAATGTTCAGTTTTGGGGAATTCTTTACAAGTGTAATCTACGTGGCTTGAGTTTGAATTAGACAATTTGAATTTTTTTGTGATTTCGACGAAACTTAGTGATTTATGCGCAAGCAACTATTTTTTGCTAATGTCTGATGAGATAAATATGCATCGCAAACAATTTTATATTTTTCTATCATCAATTTCATGTTACAAAATTTAAAAAAAAAACAAACAAAAAAAACAGTTTAAGTATCTTACATTAGTGGTCGGAACACTAAGAAAAGCTGGTCAAAACCGAAAAAATTGAATCGTGCATAAGAAGGAATAATTAATGTTTTATAGTAAATAAAAATATGAAAAATAACATTAAAACATTCATTAAAACAAAATTTTATTTATTATTATTGTATTATCCATATAAAGTGGTTAGAAGTATTATGCATCAGTAATGTGACTTTTTGTTTTACACTTCTAGCCGATGTTACTTCAGAAATAATTGTATTTTCAATATTGGCGATCGAAATGGGCTACAAGTAGCGTAGAGCAAAACTCTCCACCAATGGCAATACTTCTAATGCTTTCACTATTAGAGTGTGGAGAGTTATAGAAGAAGGAAGTACGTTAGATTCTATCTTGATTTATAGATTAAAATCTTTTAAGTTGGGAAACTATATGGAACTGAAAACTACATTAGACATAGTTCTAAAAAAAAGTGTCATGGAAATTTGAAAAAATAATTTTATTAATTAAAGGAAAATATCGTAGGAAAGGAAAATATCGTAGTACATTCCTATACAACTGAAAAGAGGAGGAGAGGGATGGGAGAAGGACCAAGAGCATGGAACCGGTCTTCTCCCCAGATGGCGTATTCGAGAGTTTCGATCGCCTATTGTTGTTGTTTTTAAATGTTTTTGGAAGATTGAAAATCATTTTTTCTATGTTGACCCTTTAAATAATTGGTATAATATAGCACTTTAAAATCTTTATGCAAAAATAAACATTTCACATAATTTTGAAACTTATTGTGATTTTTGAAAAGGAATTCTCCATGGTTCCCCGCATTCATTATAAGAAAACTAACGAACGATCGTTCGTTAGTATTTAATATATTAAATTAAAAGAAGAAAAAACACGCATAGGAATGAATGAGATGTCTGTTATTATTGATTTATAACAATTTTAATCAATATTTTAAATTCTATATATAAATGCATGAGAAAATTATTCTTTTGCAAAAACTATTTTCGCCGAATATTACAGAACATTTTAATTGTTTAAAATATTTACAATTTATTACAAAATTTATTCTTCACAAAAGCATTTACATGACAAAAAATTTTATTTTTCTGCACACCACTTTACCAGAGTCTGTCATTTTTTTATTTTATTTTTCAAAATTTGTTTGTGTTTCAATATTGGTGTATAGTATGCAGGAGCAATCTCACTAAATGCTGTGTTGCCGCACTTCCGATCGCTGTCGAGGAAATATGTAAGTCTGATTGACGAAATACATTTTCATGTGAAAAAATTTACAAATCAAGTTTCCTTTTTCTCTCGACGGCGATCGAAAGTGCGACAATAGAATGGGTCATTCACACTACATCCGATTGCCTTAGATGCGTGTGAGACTGTTTAAGGAGCATTCTCATCGAAAGCAGTTGCCTCACCTCCGACAGAAAAAAGGGAACATAATTTGTAAGTTTTTTTTTTTTTTTTTTTTTTTTTTTTTTTTTTTTTTTTTTTTTTTTTNTTTTTTTTTTTTTTTTTTTTGCAGGAAAATATATTTTATCAATCACGTTCTTATAGTTCCTCGACGGCGACTGGAGGTGCAGCAACCGCATTCGATGAGAATGAACTTTTTTCAAATTGTATGTTATCAAATTATATGCATTATACGATTTGCTTGCTCATGCGCAAATCGCAACTACATGTGATCTCATAAGCAAATCGCATGTAATCTGAATGCTCCATCAGTGTTCTGCAGTAAGCTTCATATTGGAACTTTCACACTGCATGCGACTCAGGAACCACCGATCTCTATTGAGAGAAAAAAGGAGAACCTGATTGATGATTTTCTGCAAGAGAATATATTCACTAATAGCAGGTAAGGGAGGCGTTTAAGGGATTCAAACTTCCCCGTTGTAAATGACAATTTTTAATATTTTATTCATTTCTACTCTAACTATTCACTTTTTAAATGAAACATTTTCAAAAAAAAATTTTTTTCCTGCTACTTTTAAATTTTTATTAAGTAAAAAACAACAACTTAAAAATCATTCATCACATCGGTACAAATACCCTCCTTTTCATGCAAACAATACTCTGGAGTCAATGATGAAACTAGTGTCGTAGTTTTAATGGGCTATCGATTGGTTTGAGGGGATATATATATATATATATATATATATCCCCTAATTACAAAAAAATAATAATGAAAACTTTCTATCTCTACATCCTACTTACCGTAAAATAGTTCATTAATCAAGTAATGTTTAATTTCGGAGGTGGTTTTGTCCCCAAAACTACGCCACTGGACGAAATCAAAGTATTCCTCCCTGTCATCCGCTTACAAGGATGGTGGATTCCGTCTTACTATAGAAAATCACACATGCACAGCTTGAAATTAACCTAATTTACATATCATTATCAATGGCTATGGATGATCATTTTAAAGGAACAATATGGGTTATCTATAGAATGTAGGTGAAGATAACTTGTTTTATATTCATTCATTATCTCTTTGGTTAAAAAATGCTTCATAGGAGAGATTTCCTAGAATTATGAGACAGCATTTTTAGGACAAATTTTTCTCAAAACTATTGAATCTCAAATTGTAATAAGTTTTATGACAAGATACATTTTTACAGTTTTTAAAATCATTCATATATATATANTTATGGAATATATATATATATATATATATATATGTTAAATATCTGAAACGCTTAAGAATTTAGCACAATTTTAAAATTTAACCTCACTTCAATTCATAAAAATTGAATTTCTGAACTCTTGGAAAAGTATAACTAAGCGCTCTCTCTCGACGGCAATCGGAGGAACGTGAATTGCATGCAGTGAGAATAGCAGCTATGTTATAACGCTACAGTAGGCGTAGTAGTACTTTATTTATGTCGCGTTAGAGCTGTTGTTGTAGTTGTAGTTCATTTACGTTGCACTAGAGCTGCACAATGGGCTATTGGCAACGGTCTGGGAAACATCTCTGAGGATGATCCGAAGACATGCCATCACAATTTTGATGCTCTACAGGGGATATGGAACCCCCACTTCGGTAGCCCGATGACCTGCACATAAAGTCCAGCTTTTTACGGTAGAACAGTCTAACGAGGAAGAGCTATGCAACAGACTATTGGCGACAGTCTCGGAAACATCCCTGAGGTATGTCCGAAGAACTGTCAATTTTTATCCTCTGCAAAGGATTGGTAGGCACTTTATTAACGTCACACTCGAGCTGCACAATGGGCTACTGGCGATTGTCTGATAAAATTTCCTGAGGATGACCCGAAGACTCTTTTGATCCTTTGCAGAGGGGATCTCTCCCCTGCTTTGGTAGCCCGACGACCTGCTCGCAATGTCGAGCACTTTACTTTAGAACAGTTTAACGAGCACCAATACCACGCACCCTCTGTCCCTACGCAAGTTGATCGAAGTGGTCACCCACCCGCTTACAGACCGCAGCCAGAGAGTCTTGACCACATTGTTCTACTGGAAACCGGGTCTTTATGATCTGTCCACTGTGGGACCCTCTGTGTAAGGGAAGAACAGTTTAACGAGGACTGAATATACTCACCCTCGTCTCCTCATCAAAGTGCTCAACCATCCACTTACCAACTGCAGTCAGTGATGTTAGGCTTCGATGATCAACTGGGTACCGTGTTTTAAGGGAGCATTCATACTGCATGCGATTGTGCTAGTTGTGCGCTCGAATGTTTGGAAACTATATATTAAATGAACCCGCTCTCGCATGCACGAAACGCATAGAGAGACATACAATAGCATATGCGATAAGCATTCAGTGAGATGCGATAAGCTCCATTATGATCAGTCTACTTTGGAACCACTACAGTTTGAGTTTACCAGTTTCGTAGGCAAATAACGTAAATATGGGACAATTTTCACTGCATGTGATTCGCATATGCAATCACACAAAGGCGATCAGCGCAGGGAACATTTATACTTAATATGATCCTCCCAGACAATCGTGCGAGTGAAACTACATGTAGATGAATGATGCGCGTATGGCATGCGCGTACGATCACATATGCGAAACACATGAAGTGAGAATAATGTAGTTTCGGAACTTTCGTGCGCTTGTCTGGGACAATTAGATGCAGTGTGAATGGCTCCTTACCATGCAGTGAGAATTGCGGCGGAAGCTGATGTGGTTTATCACTTGTCATAAATTTGTTTATGACTAAAATATATATGGCAACAACATATATTTAGGGAATTATAGGGAATTTTCGCAAAAGTGGTAGGGAGTTTCGCAGAAAGCAAAAGTAATCAAAAGCGGTATAGTCGTTGGTGGCTGAATTAATAAAAAAACTGTATCAGCTCTGATATTCGATATTTAATTTTAGACAAATTGCTTCAGCAATATTATAAAACATGACAATTGCTCAGCAGTTTCTTGGAAAAAAGACTTGTAAACAGCAAGAGGAACCCTTGGTACCACCATTTGAGACCCCGGTCGGTACTTGAATGTTTATGTATTTTCATAATTAATTTCTATGACTGCTTTGGCCTTAATTGATTACAATTTTTTGACATTTAAATTTTTGAAATAATTTCAGCTAAACTAATATTTCCATTCAGCACTTTTTATTTAAAAAAAACTAGAGAAATTAAGTGCGCAGTGGGGAGCTGTAAGGTTTTTTGCTGCTACTTTAAATTCCGATACTTTATTAATTAACCACATATATTTACTGAAACTGTGCGAAATCATTCCAAAAACGTTCAATTATTTGATAACAACATATTCTCAATTCAATTTTAATGATAATAAAATTGATAATGTTGAGTGATATAAAATTTTTATGATAGAAAATGTGGAGAATTGATTTTTATTATTATTTAGACGCAACATAAACTATTTTTAAAAATTTCTTAATTTTTTAGGACTAATCGTTGTCCATAAAATCTTTATGAAAATGAAAGCTTATGTTCAAACATAAGTATTTTGAAATATACTGACAAATTTGTCACCATGTTATTTGTTTGTTAATATAAATTAGTCAAATGACTGTATTTCGAAAAAAGATGTGCCAATACCAGACTTGCATTTCTTCTGAAATTTGTCAGTATTCTTAGAGTTTTACATTTTAGTAAGAATTTTAGCATACAATCAAACTTAATTGTACCACACTCGAATTTCTGCAGTTAAAAATATGATTAGAGTAAGAAACATAGACTACAGTTATAATTTGAGTTTTATATTTTTATGACTTTAAATTACAACATCAAAAACAATTTAATATTCTTTATTCATTTCATTGAAGAATCAAAAAATAATAAGTAAAAAAAAGCTTTGTTTTGATTGCTGAATGTTATCTGAAAATAAGTTTTTCTGTACCTTTTGACAAAAGAAATAAATTTTTACCCTGTTTGAAGAACCATATGCTTGACAGGGGTAGAAATTTTTAAAAAAAATTACTGGTCCATAGGACCAGTAACTAAAACATTTTACTAGTCCGCACAAAACTTTACTGGTCCGTCTATGCGTTCCTATTAGCTGCAAATAAAAAAAAAATTAAAATTTTTGATAGAAAAAAATCATGATTTTTTTTTTAAAAAAATCATAAATTTTCGATTTAAATCGCATTTTTTTGATTAATATTAATTTTGTATAAAAAATTTTAAAAAAAAATTGTGAATAAGCTGTAAAATAGTTTTAAGTAAGATCGTTTAAGTTTCGTAAGATCGAGAATAAATCGGCTGCTAGAATAGATTAACGGAGATCGGCTGCGGCGGATGGTGGTCCGGCGGACCACTGTTTATTATTTTATGCTGGTCCGACTCCGATTTTAGTGGTCACGGACCAACGGACCACCGTTAATTTCGAGCCCTGCTTGAAATTAATGGGTTAGAGTTAGAGAAAAGAAGGTATGATTTTTATAAGTCATGCAACAATAAGACATTAGACACTGTTCAAATTCACAAGTATTATTTAGTTGTATAAAGAAAGATAGTATTGAATACAGCAAAATTGTCAGTGCAGAATATATTTTTCTACACTGAAAATAATTTGATGTAGCATTGAAACTTGTATGCAATTTTGAAACATTCAAATATACTTATTTCAATGTTATCTATTTTCTCTAACTGAAATTTTTTTGTGCATGTGAATGAAAACTTGTCAGAGTTATTTGTAGGTAAAAATATTTCATTCGTCAGATTCTCATTTGCCTGTGAAAAAATTGGATTCTGAGAATATGGGGGATTAAAAAATTAAAATATACATTTCTGTTTAACTCAACAATGGTAAGTCTTTAGAATTCATAGATCATAGTAAATCAAACTTCTAAATGACAGTGATCATATGTTTGTGGAGTGCAAGAAGTTTCTGATTGCATTTAGCCATAAAAATAGTTGCCAGCAGCCTTTTAAATGTTATATTTATGGCTGTATATTAAAATACAATTATGTAACATTGAATTACTTTAATAAGTAAGCATCAAAGATATATAGATTTTGTTACTTGTAAGCTTTTAATGTAGAAAGAAAAGCATGGCATAATCTTAACAGAATTTTTTTTCCAATTGAACAATTCTTACTTTATTTGTTTGTTTTACACATTTGAAAAAAATTGGAATTTGTTATGACAAAATCTCACCTATCGGTTGAATCATAGTGTATTAAAACAGTAAGTTAAATATGACATTAATTTTAGATAAAATTTTTTTAGAAACTGATTTATCGCAGACCTGTACTTAATGTTTGGCAATGTTTTTATTGACGCTGCCTTTGTCAGATGCCGAAAACTGAAACAAATATTGCAACCCTGTGAAATTTGATGTTCTCGTATGAATTAGTCTTTATATATTTTTGTTTAACAAAAAACATGTATTTTATAACTATATAATGGCAGATCTATATTTAATGTTATTTCTCAGACAACTGTTTTGTTATGTAACTGCTAATGATTCTGAAAACTGAATGAAATATTTTAACTCCATTAAATCTTAAGTTTACTTATTTTTTTTGTTACATTTTTTTTCTGAATTGCTTCACAGAAATTTTGTTTTACCATGCTTATATCTTGATTCTATATTTGCAAATTTTTTAAAATGTTTTTTAAGCATATTAAATTATCCTCATACAAATATCAGAAACTTTTTTTTACTAACTTGAGTAATTTTATTATTTTAATTTAATAATAGAATTTCATCAGGTCTCATTAATCCATTCTGCAGCTCTTAAAAATGGAAGAATTTCTTTTTCTCCAATTTTAAGGATGTATATGAATTTTTCTTAAGGTCTTATGCATTTTTCTTATTATATATCAATATCTTTCAGGCAAATATAAAGGATGCGGAAGAGGGGCGACCTGTTGTGGTTACTATGCACGCTCATGTTAGGAGAGTGAGCTCTTTAACTACTCTTTGTATCTTTGCTACTGCACTACTTGTATTAACAACTGGTGTCATGGGTGGAATGTATTTGTATCGCCATTTTGCTCATTATAAGGTTATATTTCAAACATTTTCTATTTTTATTACTATTTTGTGACAAAGGTGAGCCCAGCCTAGAAAAACCCAGTGGGTTTTTTTCGGATTGGGCCCTCTTGAAAAAATTAATCTTCATACCTACCAAATAGGTTATTTTTTTTCACATTTTATTGTTTCTAATCAATTTTCTTTGCAATTATCAAACCATTGTTCTTTGAAATTATCACTTGTTTTATAAATTTAACTTAGTAACTATTTATACAAAATTATATAAACTATAACGTATATCAATAATCTGATTTCTGCAAGCAAAATTATGATGAACAAATGAGCTAAATACAGGAAAGTATGAAGTACATGATTAAAAAAACATACTGCTAAGTTATAATATATTACTTATCTATAAAACAAATTGTATGTAATATGCATACACATAATAATTATAGAATAATTTGTATGGATTGTAAACCCTTCAAGGGTTTGTTAAAATACACCAACATATCTATATTACATATATCTAATATTACAAAATGAATGATTTTTTAGACAAAAAATATGGAAATAAATTTTTTAGTCAAAAAAAAAAAAAACCCCATCTAATTACTCAATTATTCTCTGTTTCTCTTGTGACAGCTGGAATAGGAAGAATTTAGATTTGTTCACTACAAATTGTGAAATCGCTGTGGGACTATAGTTTCTATTATGTTTAAATATTTCAAAGAAATTTTTCATTATAATATTTCAATCAATATGATAAGAAATCGATTTTCTGATATCAAATATTTTCTGAGAAGAAATAGAGATTTTCTGATTTAGTTTCATAAAATTGTCAGGACACTTAAGATTAAATTTATATTTTAAATTTTAACAAGTACCAAAAATGTATTTTTTTTAAAACTTGTGAATCTTAGTTTTGTTTGTTAACATTTTAATTGATAAAAATTTTGTTAATTGCAAACGAAGGAATAAATTATATAGTCAACATTTAATTATTTATTAATGAAATGTGAATGCATATTGTATATGTTGGTTGTTCTTGTTGTGTTCATTCATACGTAATTAAATTTAATGAGCCTTTCTGCATGTTAATTAAAATCTTAAACTTATACTTGTAATGCTTAGGAAACAAATTTCTAATTTACAAAATTTCTTTTCACTCATTTCAAAAGCAAAATTTAATAAAGATAAAAGTTGATTAGTATGTTGTAAAGCATAAAGAATTCATATATTAAAAAATATAAATGAACATACCATGTGCAACAAAAACACGAGTTCTTTTTTTCAATGTTTATAATACTTCTAGAAATTCCATTCATTAACTTTAAAGCGAACTATGTTAATTTATAATTTTAAACTAATTAAACTTAGTATGCTTTATATTTACAAAGAATTATTTCAGTAACTTTATCATTATGTAACTTACAACATTTAGAAGGCAAAAAGACTGAGAACTGTACATATATGTGTATTTATATTGGGGAATAGGGGTCCAGAGACCCATCAGCTACGTCCCTATATATAAGTTGTGCTGATCGTTAAAATAACATTCTTTGAACAAATATAAACATCTATATCAGAGACAGCAAGTTTTTTCCCTAGTTGGAAAAAAAGTAGGTTTCTTCTAACTCAAGTAGAACAAATTCTTTTAAAAGTTCATTATTGTGCATATTTAGTAAGGGAAATAAGAATAACATAAATCCCATTTAAAAAGTAAATTATTATTAGGTTATATAGGTTTTTTAAAATTCCATATAAGGTAAAATCAATAATATGAAAATGGTTTTTTGTAAAAAAGTAATTTAGAAAATGGACACATTCTGTTCCAAATCTTATAAAGCAGCATCTAGAGGTAAAATATAAAAATCTATAACATCTGGATTAAAAAATTGGTTCCATGCTACTATAAGTGCCTAGATAACTGAACTCTGTTTAAGGGTTGAAAGTTTGTATTTAGAATTATTTTATCTTTATCTTGGCCTATAAAATCAATATTTCAAAATAGTAATAATTTCCAAACTTATTAATTTAAGTTAAATGAGACTTATTTTGAGTTTAGGGATAGAAGAAATTTCTGAAGTCTAATATAAATATATTATCACTTGGAAAATTTTATAGATGGATGAAAATTTTATTTATTCATTTCTTAGTGTTCAATTTAAAAATCTAACTTAAGTCTGTCTAAACTTGAAATATCTCATCTATTTAATAGTATCTTTTTAGTAGTTTCTTTAAATTATAACCTTGTACCTTGTGTGTAAATTATAAAGGTTTACTCATAAACAATGAAACTTTTTAGACTAATGTTATTATAAATCTTTAGGTTACAATATTTTAAAGTAGTTTGATATCATTTATGACTTAAAAAATTAAATGCAGGGGTGATTGTGCTGTAAGATAATTCCAGCGTTTTGTATTACCTTCCATGGTCATTTTTGGAATTTCTGGGCAGAAAAGATGTTATTGAAATTTTAAATATCTCCTTGGGACCAAATACCAGATGAAACCCCCTCAATATTTTCAAAGATTTCATTTGGTTTATCAATCATCCCTGTGAAATATTTAAGTGTTAGTTTCCATAAATCAGTAAAATTGAGTCTTATTTTCAGGTTGGACAAAGTGCAAATGTGAGTACTTGTTACTTTTTAAAGTGAAATACTTGTTTAAGCATTCAGTTATATTAGTTTGTAATAATGTTATATTTTTTCCATTTTTATTAAATTTTTTTCATTAATTGCAATTTATTGAAATTTTTTTAATAAGTTTTTTTTGATCGGGATATTTTTGTAATACAAAGCATTGTTTAACTTCAGTTACTATATTTTAAATAGGAAACAAGATAATACTTTCATTAATGAATTGCTTCAATATTTTAAGTATCAATTTTAAATGTTTCACTTAAATTTTGTTTAGAAAAAATTCTATATGGAAATACTTGTAACTTTCAATTAAAGTTGGTACAGTTTACTTTTCAAATTAAATCAGTGATGGAAAACTTTTTTTTTAGAATTAAAAAAAAAAACATTAGAAAAAGGTAAATAAACAAAAAGGGAATGGTAGATAACAACTAGAGCTCTCACATATCACCATTTAATTGTAAATTTTTTTTTTATTAAGTTTGCTAATAATGTTGCCGAATATTAGTTTTAGTGCCTCACTTGTTAAGTTCCTTATTGCACATTTACACTAAAGTCATAATCTTTTAAAACTTCAAGTTGACTGTCTCAAACTTATTCAAGTTGTGATACCAGAGAATTACCAGAATTACATTTTCAAAAATTTTTAATTTTACTAAAAATGATTAAATGCTAAAATTACTTAATATTGAAACAGGGTATTTAATTAAAATTGTAATTTACTCATTTTTTGAAGTATAATTAAAGGCTAATAAAAATCTAGCAAAAATATTTTTTTTCCCATTTAAATTTTCAAAATATTTGGTTTTATTTATTCTCCTCTTATCTTAAATTTAATAAGACATGTATTTTTAATTATTTTTTTTGGTCTTATAATTAAGTATAATTTAATCTCTTCTCAATTTAAGAAAGCATTTGATCTATTTTCTTGTGCTGTTTTTTTCCTTCTGTTTAAATAGTTTCTTTTGTATCGATTCACATTTTGCTTTCATTAGAGCTTTTATATAACCCTTATCTTTATTCCTAACTTTTCTGACTGCAACATAGTTTTTACAAAAATATTAAACTCTGGGGCAATGTTTGAATGTTGAAAAATAACTTATGTAATGTGCTTTATATTTTGAAGTAGTTTATCACTAATTGTCCACTTACCTTTATTTCAGCTTCGTCATTTCCGTGGATGGTGCTCTGTACCTTATTTACCAGATGTTCAACCAGAACCCAAGCCTGTATCATCTGAATTGAAACAAATGGCTTCTGAAGCATTGGAAGTGAATTCTCCTAAAGTAAATTTTTTTGAGGAAGAACTAGATATTGATGTGAAATTCGAACAGTATGAAAGAATTGAAGTCCCTTCATTTGAACGTGGAAGACATGCTCAGTTTGTGCACGATTTTGTAGCAGTAAGTTTTTAGAAAAAAAACTTAGAAAAATTCTAAATATTATGTTGATTTATTTTGCTTATTTGTTAAACATTTTGATATAAATTACATAAACATGTATGTTTGTATAGTGAAATTTACATTGAATTTACTTGATATTCTTAGTCTTAAAATTATTTTATTTTGCCTTTTTGATTGTTTTTTTTTCCTTCTATCTTTTGATCTATAAGGGAATTTTGAATAAAGGATTTTGGCCCGCTTATTTTCTCACGGAGAAAAGTTTTTTCCTTTATATTGTGGAAAGATTCTTAAAAAATATAATAACTGAATCTGTTTTTTCAGCAGAATTATGTTGGATATAAGGTTAACTTATGTTCCTGCCTATGGTTGGAGTTGTATAAAGAATATTTACCATATTTGAGTTAGGTACTGTCAATGCTTGATAAAAATACCCCTGTCTTTTTATGTAGCGGGACATTGTAATATGAGATTGTTATACATGGTAGTGTCAGGTCATGTCCACAAAATGCCATGTATGCAGGTTACATTTACAGCGTTAGGTTTTAGTTTGCAAAAACTGTTTTTTGATGTAACACATAAAAATCTGTCAAAAACCTTACGTACGTTTCTTTTATGTCATTGGGGACATCTTATTAAAAGTCAATTTACATAATTGTTTAAATAATTGCTACTATAATTATGAGTCATATATCATGTTTAAAAGATTTAGCCAAAATTATTCAAACTAATTACGGCTTTTTCAAAAAACTAGTTAGTATTTATACTTTAGGATAATTTTTTGATTTATTTAACTAATCACTTTATTTTGCAGATTGATAATGAGTTATTAATTGATATCAATCTAAATATTGATTTTAATTTTATGCCGTAATTTAGGCAGATTTTCTAGCTTAACTGAAACTATAGTGGTCATTGATAATATTTTGATCTGAAACTTGTGTAATTCATTTTAATTTTCAATATTAGTTGCTAATGCTTATGTGTACAATTTGCAAAAAAAGAAAGAAAAAAAAATCCCCACCCTGAATGACTTTTGATCTATAGATCAGATTTTTATGTACTGGGACTCAATCTTAATGATTCAAGATTGTGATCTCAAATATGGTAATTAGTCTACACTATTTTAAGTTACGAGATCAGACAGAAAAATTTACTTTCTTTGCTTAAACATTTTTTTTTACTTATTTCGATTCCTTACCCTCAAAATATATCTGGTCCTAATAGTTTGGTCAGGAGAGTGTGTGGCGTAACTGCCACTATAAATATTAAATACCAAATCACTAGTATATAAGACATGTTAACTTGAATCCATCTGGAGGTACCGTTTGATAGATGAAGTTTGACATAGTAGATTTATAATTCCCCTCATTGGTGACCTCCGGATGTGATAGGAACTTGTCAATATTGATGGATGATCCACATTAAAACAATTGATTTGCTTAAAAATATACTGCTCAAAGAAGAAAAAATCCGGTGAAGTAAATAAAGTCTCACGGTTAATAAACAATATTGAAGAAAAAAAAATAATGAGGGAAATGCTATAAAACAAAAATGAAGGGAAAAAAATAATAATGAGTGAAATGCTATGAAGAATATATATAATGAGCAAAATTGATATAAATAGCATGAATCAACTAGTCTATAATTAACTCCCCACAAGTAGTTAAAAGTTTAGACCCCTTAATGTTAATTTAACTTTTTGCATATTTTGCCATAACTCTCGAACTTTTTATGTGAATTGAAACATTTTGTAACATGATTATGAAATCTGTTTATCAAAAGATAATTCCCTAATTTTTTGCATCATTTTAAGAAACATAATTTTTAATTAGCAGTATACAAAATTTGAGCAATTTTGGTCGAAAATTTATAGAGCATATTTAAGAAATATTAAAAAATATTCAAAAATTATTTAAATGTAATGTATATTATTCAATGCTTTAGAAGGATACTGATATTCTTCAAGCTTCATTAGTTAAAAAAATGAGAAAGCGTTTTTTTCTTCCAATTTATCATTAAATTATTTGCAGTAAAGCATACCTTTGCTATTTTAAATACACATACGTATGTAGCCACTTTTGGTGTTTTTAGTTCTATTCATCATTTTAATATTTTCAAATATTTTTGAATTGGAAAAATATATTACCCTTAATTTTCCATGCTCTCTTTAAAGTTTGTATTAATTCAATCCAGGAAGAAAATGATCATTTTATTAATAAAATTGATAGAAACGTAAATATACAGTTAATTAGTGACTCAAAATAATTTTGAAATTTAAGTATGAGATTTTTCATATACTGACAAAGGGGAAGCTATCTTTTACACATTACTAATATATTATTTTTATACAAAATTTTTATTTACATGTTAAGTTGAAATTTAAAGTAAAGTAATATTCAAAAATAATTTTGAATTGTTTATTGATTTTATTAACAGTTGAAGACAATCTTCAAGATTATACCTTATAATAGCTTAAATCCTTTTAATTTAGTGCTAATTATTATTTTTAAACTCATGTTTGTGAAAATTGCAACACCATGAAGGACTTACGCGAGTGCGCTGAAATTTTCAGGAAATGTAAAGTAGAGCATGATATGCAAATGATTAGAATTTCAGACCCGTAGCGCATGCGTATGCTGACTCAGCGGCCTCTGTACGGCGGATGGATCCGAATAGATAGACGGCTGTAGCCAAGCGAGTATGGTTATCGGTGGTTATCTGCTAGTGGTAAACGTTAGCTTAGTCATTACTTATGCCTATTCGTTGAAAGAGAGCAATATTTCAACAACTTACGAGTTTAAACGGGGGAGAATCATCGGCCTTTGTGAAGCTGGATTGTCTTATCGTGCAGTAGCCGCTCGTGTGCAGCGTAACAGCAGCACAGTGATGCGTGTTTGAAAGCAGTGGATGGACGAGTGTCGGACAACTCGGAAATCCAGGAGTGGACCCCGAAATGTCACGTCAGCTCGCGATGATAAACACATGTTCAGCGTTTCGCTAACGGACCGTACGCCTCCTTTTAGACAGCTGGCAGCACGGTGGTCAATAGCTACAGGTGTTTCATTGTGTGCTTTATCAATTTGTAGATGTCTGCTGCAGCGTGGGCTAGGACTGGGCTTTATACCGATGTAAGACAATATATCGATTTAACTCCAACATCGTAATACCGATTTATCAATTTCATCTTCAACAAAATTCCGGAGTGAGCATTTCGACTCTACTAAATCGATTCATGACAGCAAACGCTAAATCGATGTTGCTCTCTCCGATGTAGTGAAACACCGGTTTAATCATTGCGAGAAAGTACCGATCTGCCGTAGCGTAAGGGAAAGATTCAAGGTCAACTATCAACTCATTCTCTTGGTAACACGTGGCTATTTGCCCAAATCACATCTGGTGCAGGGGTTGGTATAGTTAAATCGGAATGGGCCATTGAATCTCTTCATTCAAAACTAATTCACTAGGTTATATCGATATTTGGCGGTTGAAAAAAAAACTCCGATATAGCAGGGATCGGTGCAATTGAATCTCCTCATTCAGATCGATATAGCAGGGATCGGTGCAGTTGAATCTCCTCATTCAGATTTCAAGTTTATATCGATATTTGCGGAGGATTTTTTACCACCAAGTGTATGTGATTGTCTTCTCTTTAGAATTCCGATTTTAGGATATCTTGCTCGTGCAGGAGGGAAAATTCCCATCTTCAATTTTACATATCCTGATTTCTGAAATAGGTTTCTTTCCGTAATATCTTTAAATATCTTACCGGGTTTTCTTTCAGCGTGTATGTTACATTAATTCTTTCCGTACTGTTCGGTTTCTGTTTGCTCGCGCTAACTGAAGTCGCTAAATAAAATTGGTGTTTTGTTTTAATTGGAATAAATTGTAAAAAAATGTTTAGGAAATTTACTAATTTTATCTTTCGTAACTGCCTTTTTTTGTGATCTTTTTATTTATTATTATTCTTTTTCGTTAATTTCTCGCGTGTTTATTATAAATGTTGGGAGATTTATCTTTTTATGGCGCATTACGGGGCTATTTCCGTATCGTTCGGAAATAGCCCCGTAATGCATGCGCAGTTAAAAGATTTCACCTTTCGAATAAGACGTGTATCGTGATGTTTTTTTTTAAAAATTTATTATTATTTTTTTTTGTAGTTTCTCGCGTGCATAATGTTAAGTTTAGAGATTTATCTTTTTAAGGCATGTGCATTACGGGTCTATTTTCGTATTGTTCGGTACCTGTTTTCTTGCGTCAACTGAAGTTGCAGTTTTGTTTTACTTGGAATCAATTGTAAAAAAATATTGAAAGGGGAAGTTAACGATTTTTAACTTTCAAATTAGCCTTTTTTTGTGGTGTTGTTTTTATTTAGTTTCTTGCGTGCTGCTGCCGGAAGTCACCGATGCTTAGCGATTACTTTGGTGCTGATATGGAAAATCTTACCTTAAACGTATTTTACTAAAAAATTAAGTCCCGCAGAGGACTGATCGTTAAGACAAGGTTCTCAGCAGATCACCAAAGTCAAGCATCACTATCTACGGTCAGTGTGCGGGTGGGGGACCACTTGGATCAGTCTGCATAGGGACCGAGGGTGTGCGGTATTGGTCCTCGTTAAACTGTGCTACCGTAAAGTGCTAGACTTTGCGCGCAGGTCGTCGGCCTACCGAAGCGGGGGTGCCATCCCCTCCGCAGAGGGTCAAAATTGTGATGGCTTGTCTTCGGATCATCCTCCGGGATGTTTCCCAGACCGTCGCCAATAGCCCATTATGCAGCTCTAGTGCGACGTAAATTAACAACAATAATAACAACTAAAAAATTAAATTTGGAATAAAAGGAAATTGCATCTTATTACTGATATACTTCTTTTTTGTCATTGCCGGGAAGGGGGGGGTGAATCTATCACTAAATCTATTCACTTCATTAAATTTTAAAATCTGTGTCCCAAACATATAATTGCTGTTTTGGTAACTAGAGAAAATTGCACCTTCCTTTTTCAGAAAAAATCATTTAGTTGAAACAAAGAGATAGCAATGAACATAAGTAAAAAAAAAAAATGTTTATATTTTCGTGAAAATACATGCTATTTCTGTTGAAATTCATCCAAACTTTTTTATCAAAGCTATAACATGTTGTAAAAGTTAAAAACATTTACAGTTTTTGATTATACTGGCTGTTAAAAAATATTTTTTTCCTTTTTTTCGTCGTTGGAGATGCTGAATACTAAATAAAATCTTTATTATTATGATTTAAATTACTTTGGAAATAATAAAAAGTCTGAATTCCATTTAAAGTTCTCCAGCACTATATTCCTGATACTTTTAAAAATTGTCCACTTACTACAAATTATAAATAGTAATACACTTTATAAAATCAAGTAAGATAGTTTGATTCATTGCTCAGAAAAAAAATATGAATTTCAAATTTTCAATATATATATATATATATATTTTAACAGCAAACTTTCAAAAGTGACTTTTTACAAAGTATATTTTTTATTAAAGTAAAAAAATTATGATAGGAATGGGAAATTTCCAGGTGCAATCTAAAAACTAGGGCGCAGGCATGATGATGAATTTTAAACTAGTCTTAGTTCATTTAAGCATATTTTCAATAAAAATATTAATGTATAGTTATTTATATATGTACAGAGAAAGTGAAAGTTTTTAATTTTTTTTACTAATAAAATAAATGCAAAAGAAAAAGGTAAACAATATTCTCCAATACCTTTAGTGAAAAGTTACAGAGTAAAATTAGTAAATTGTAGTATTTAAATAAGCTTTTGAATATCTGCAAAAAATTATTCATAATCAGAACAACTTTGTCAAAATTTCTGTGGACTAGGAGTTGACTGTAAGTGAGTTAAAAAAAAAAAAAAAACAATACATTTGAATAGAGGAAGGGGTACTGTGGATTTATTTCTTAGTTTTGTCGTTTAGATTGTTAAATCGATATAACCTAATATCGCCATATAAAAGGGTTGATTATATCGATTTAAGAAATTTCTATATCGTCCAGCCCTAGCGTGGGCTGCGCGCAAGGACTCCTTTATATAGGATCCCCCTCACACTGAACCTTCGCTGCCTGCGGCTGCAATGGGCCAACCAGTGTAGGGACTGGCGTGCTGATTGGCAGAGTGTCGTGTTTTCTGACGAATCTCGCTTCAATTTGTGGTACCATGATGGCCGCATTCGTGTCAGACGCTATGCCGGTGAACGCCATCTTCCGGAGTGCACTATCGAGTGCCATAGTGGACGAACACCTGGAGTTATGGTCTGGGGTGCTATAGCATATAATGGACAATCTCAATTGTTGCGAATTGTGAGTAATCTGAACAGCAACCGGTACATTAGTGAAGTTCTACAGCCACAAGCTGTTCCCTTCCTTCAAGCCTTGCCAGGTGCTGTATTTCAACAGGACAATGCCCGCCCTGATATTGCTAGGACTATTCAATCCTTCCTTGGATCGCGAGAGGTACAACTTCTTCCTCGGCCAGCGTATTCCCCGGATTTGTCGCCGATTAACCATGTTATTGAATCTAGAGTTATGGTCTGGGGTGCTATAGCATATCATGGACAATCTCAATTGTTGCGAATTGTGGGTAATCTGAACAGCAACTGGTACATTAGTGAAGTTCTACAGCCACAAGCTGTTCCCTTCCATCAAGCCTTGCCAGGTGCTGTATTTCAACAGGACAATGCCCGCCCTCATATTGCTAGGACTGTTCAATCCTTCCTTGCATCGCGACAGGTACAACTTCTTCCTTGGCCGGCGTATTCCCCGGATTTGTCGCCGATTGAACTTGTGTGGGGTTTCGTTGGTCTGCGTCTTGCTCGTAATCCTCGTCTTGTTGCTTCTACAGACGAACTTTGGGTACGCATACGAACAGTATGGAATTCTCTTCCTCAGACACACATTCAAAGTTTGCTTGACTCCATGCCACGTTGCGTGGCAGCACTTATCGTGGAGCGTGGTGGCTACACAAAATACTGATTTCGATCTTTTGTTATTGTTTGTTTGCTTTGAAAGTTTAATCATTTATTTGTACCACTACCACTCAACTGTGTGTTAAATTTCATTCAATTATGACGATTCCTTCATGATGTTGCAATTTTCACAAACAGGAGTTTATGTTAAATATACCAAAAATCCCAGTTTGAACCAAAAGAACCTGTTTTAAACAAAAAAATTTTTTTTAAAAGCACTTGTTATTCCAATCTAGAATCCTTCCAAAATAGATATGTTTATTTAGAGAAAGTATGTTTTTGTGACTGCTTTCGTCATTTAAAATATCTGCACAAATTATCATTTGAGGTAAATCCTTTTAACCATTAAAATTAAGTTCAAGTATGTGAAAATTTGATCATTGGATCAAAAATTATTCAGAGTTTTTTCCATATTCTGTACATGTTTATTTTATTGCTTATTTTAAAAAAAACTGTTATTTGCATTTTTAAATGATTTTAAGCAGTTGTATTTTTGATTTTAGAATAAAACCGGTATTGTGGACTATGAAAATAGTCGATGCTTTGTGATGGTGTTAAATCGTAACTATGTGTTTCCTCCTCGTGTTTTATATGAACAAATATCCAAAATGAGAGTAAGTATATATATATGTATTTGGTAAGTTTGAGCACAGCATTTCAAACATGAATGTTTCTCTTTTAAAACTTTTTATTTTTAGGCTGGATATTTTGATGCTGATACCCAGATTGTAAGGCATACAATGCAAGTTGTTACACCACCTATTAGTGATTTGAAAAATGTGGGATTATTCATTGCTAGAGATTGTGCTCAAATGCCAATATATATGTTAGAAAAAGCTAATTCATTGGGTGAGTTGTTGATAATGCAGCATTTTTCAATATCTTTAACTTTTAAGATGTTCAAAATGCAGTTAATTGCAAATGTGCAGCTAATATGTGTGCAATATTTTTCTTTCAAAATGGAAAAAAAAGAACTTAACTATAATTACAAAACTAAAAACTCTTCCAGATTTCTTGGAAGCTTTACATATTTTACCTTTTACATGCTAAAAGCAAAATCCAGGTTTTTCTGTATTTTTAGGTAAATAAAATTCTCAGCTGATGAGTATTTTACAGAGCATATTTACCCTTACAATATAAAACTTCTATTTTTTTTAAAAAAAAATATTTATTGCATACCCCTATATGTTAAAATAAATTTATTTGCAAATCTATGTTTCTAAAAATTTTTCAGCTGTTTCCACATGTTCTTTCAAAGTCAATTATTTTTAAAAACAATGTTATAACATGTGAATTTTGAATTTTAATTATCACTTTCTTATGCATTCCATTCGTGATAATTCCAGTGAAAATTTATGTAGTTTTCCAGTCTTTTTTAGCTATTAACTATTTTTTATTTATTATTTTTAATGACAGATATTTTTAGTGCAATGTTATAGCAGGTAGTTATAAATTTCAGATTTAAGTTATCACTTCATGACATGCACCATTGTTATAGATTAAGGTTTGTTTTTAGCAGTTATTACTGTTATTTATAGTTTTTGTCGACATTTTTACATGGTTTTCAAAGTGCCACTATTTTAAATAAAATTGACCTAGAGGTAATTCTTCATCTCCACATTTCTGGGGTAAGAATGACTAGGAAATCCTCATATGTTTTACAATTACATTTACTGAGTTTTATAGTTTATAAAATTGAGCACTAACTGTATTTGCCACTTCAAAGATGGCTTCCTAAATATTGTGCAGTTTTACATAGATGCTCTTTGTCTTAATTAATATTTTGTGCTACTATTTTTTTTTAAAATTTTATTTAGAAAATTTGTAAGCTTTTAAATAAATTTAATTATGGTGAAATATATAAAAATGTTACCCTCTAAAGGAGTTTCTCTCTGTTTAAAGGAAGAAATAATTATATCTGGGGTGATTCTTGATCATTATAGATAAATATGTCATTTCTCATTATAAATTAAATCAGAAATATATATTTTAATTGTTTTGGCCACTGTTTACAGATTTTTTTAAAGAATAATAAATATTTAAATTTCCCTGATAAATATGGTGAAAGACTTGTGAAAGATAATATGAATTTGAGATTAAAAATTAATCTTTAAAAAAATGGATATTTGCATGCAAAAGCTATTACTAGAGCTGTTAAAATTCCTTTCTCCTACTTATACACTGTCACTCAATTAACTTAATAAAATCAATCAATAGTAAAATATGGAGGAACTGTTTTATTCCTACAGAACTTTCTGATTTAGCTACCTATTGTGTGTGACAAAAGATTTCCTGTTACCTACAAAGTGATAATTTTTTTTTTAATTAACCCTTTTATCTGCTGTTTCACTAGGTCATATGGGTTTCTTTATTTAATCTAATGTTTTATTTGTTAATAATTGTTGTATAGTCTTTTTTAAAATCTCTTTTCACTTTAAAAAAAAAAAAACATTCTGTGATCATCAATTATTCCAGAACTGATCACTACCTAAATCAAGGGGTAAATGTGTGATCATTGAAAATTTAAAATCCGGACAAAGGGAGAAAAACTGTCCTTTTGTACCATGAAGCTGATTTTGAGAAAAAACTAATTTAAAGGTTTAAGACTTAAGGAGCTAGCATAAAATTAAAATTGTAAACGTAAAAATATACATGAATATCACAAGCATTTATTTACATTCCCCGAAAATCTCAAATTTGCAATTTTTTGCAAAACTTGCAATTTTTGATGTTGCGAAAAAATTAAATTTGGAAATTAGAATGGCCAAGAACAGTTTTTTCTTTGAAATTCCTCTCCAATCAATACTCTCAGTAGAACTCCTGCCATCTTCCTTTCACTATACTTTTCTTTGTTTGCCATCTCTTTGTGTGGAACCCTTTTAGAAACCCTTTTTTCCTAACATAACCCATCATCAAAGTATCTATTATTATAAAATGTATTGATTGTGTTCAGCAAAGCATAGCCGGTGTCCTGTGAATTATTTTAGCTTGTCCCTTGTACCTATTAATATCGGGTTGAGTAAAAAGTTTTCCGCCAAGGGGAGATACCTCCGTGCCAGCAGCAGCCATTCCCGTGGTAGTTAACCTTTTCTGAAATGGGCTTTTGCATTTTAAAGCTAAATGTTGGAACTACACAACTGTGTAATTTGTTTGTCAAAACTTTATCATCTTGTGCACCAGAAAAGTGTTTGAAATGGAGCTATCACGTAAGCAGATCAGAATGATTATGTACTATGAGTTCCGAAATAAACTCAGTGTAACTGAATGCCACAAGAAAATGTGTGAAAGTTTAGGTTTCAATACTGTTTCTTATGATACAGTAAAAGTTTGGTTTCGAAAGTTTAATAGTGGAAATTTCAACATTGAAGATGAACCACGTTCTGGCTGCCCTATTGAGATTGATTGTGACCAATTAAAGCAAATTATTGATCAAGACAGAAATGTTTCAATACGAACTATTGCGTTAGAGCTTGACGTTTGCCAAAAAACAATAGTAAATGCCCTCAAACGCATAAATTTAACATTTAAGTTTAACCGCTGGGTGCCTCACGAATTGACTGCTGAAGACAAGAGCAAGAGAAAAGTGGCCTGTTTGGTTCTGCTCAGAGATCAAAGGAAAGAGAACATTCTGGACAGAATTGTGACCTGTGATGAAAAATGGGTATACTACAACAATATGTACTAGACGTAAAGGAGGGTGGTCAGCACCTGGGGAATCAGCAGGTTCGGTTGCAAGACGAACGCTAACTAACAAGAAGGTCCTTCTCTGTATCTGGTGGGATTGTCGTGGAATTATCTACAAAGAGTACCTGAAAAACGGGCAGGCTATCAACAGTACAATATACAGCAATATGCTAATCAAAGTTAGCGATGCCATTCACGAAAAACGAGTTCAGAAGGAAGGTGGTTCTCTTAAATCAAGATAACGCCCGGCCACATGTTAGTGCAATGACCGGCTGGACCCTCTACACTCTGGAGTGGGATTTGATGCAACATCCACCATACAGTCCAGATATGGCACCTTCAGATTACTATCTGTTTTCACATTTGCAGCTGCATCTTGATGGCACAATCTTCCATTCAAGTGACGAGGTCATAAATGAGGTTGATCGCTTTCTGGACTCGCGCACCTCCCAGTTCTTCGCAGAAGGGATTGAAAAGTTGCCAAAACGTTGACAGACTATTGTTGATTTGAATGGAGATTACTATCCTCATTAACTTTGCTGATTTTCTATCTATTTATCATTTTGCAGGATTGTTTTTTTTTTTGGCAAAAACTGTTTACTCAACCTGATAAAAATATTGACTAATAAAATATTATGTATGCATAAAAATTCTACAAAAAAAAAGGAAATCTTCATATCAGCTGGAGAAAACAAATACAGTACAGAACCCGTTATCCGGAATTCAGAAAATCGGAAAACCAAAAAACTGGAACGAAATTCGATAAATTTTCCCGCCATTTAAAAAATTTTTTTTTTTTTTTCCTCATAAACTTTTAGGATTTTTCTTTCTTTTTTGAAAGATGTTTACCTTACAATCATTTTGAAAATAATCATAAGTGTATTACTTCATTGTTTTTTCTTCTTTTTAAGATCATTACCTAATATTTTTCTTTTAGTTGGGTTTAACAATAAAAAAAACTGCTTTTTGTAGCGATTCAGAAAACGGGAGAAATCAGTTATCCTGAATAGAGATGGTCCCGATCGTTAATCAGTTCCGTACTGTACATCTGTATTAAGAAGTTTAATTGTTTTTTTTTATTGGTTATCTTGCTTTTTTGTATACTTATTATATAGATAGAAGCCTGCACTTTATTATAACAATTTTGTTTCGCAAATTTTTTTATTGCCATTGGTTCAGTGCTTACTTTCTTTCAGTTAAAATAAGAAGTAAGCAGCATTCATTACGTGCCATTTTTTATGATTCTGATCAAAAAGACATTCAATAAAAATTTTCTATGTAAAACCAGTAATCCAAATAATCACGTTAAAATAAAACTTTAGTAATAAAATTTGTTTTCTAAATTAAAGTTAAATTTAACTTATGAGGATGATAAAAATTTAATAGTATTGATTTCTCAATAATTGCTAATTCTATAGATATATGCCATAATAAATTGCTTTACAATCTTGATTTATTGTTTTATTTTCATTCAGTCAGTAAGTAAAGTTATGAATGAAATATGGCCACTCTTATTACTTTAATAAAATCTAAAAATGTAAAATCAATCTACAAATTCTGCTTTACCTTACTAATGCTGGTTATTTTTTTTCGTGGTCTGCTATTCAAGAAAGGTTAGCATCTTTGGTTTATTAGTAAATTGAAATAAAAATAGTTATATCTAAATATCTATTCCCGAATCAGGTCTAATGAATTCATCGAATCTAATCGTAGGATCTAACATACTTATGATTTTTCTGTCTATTTGTGAAAATCTGTCAATTTGATTATCTTAGTTTGGTAAATTTCTGCCATTTTGACTATTCCAGACTGATTTTCTTCAAATTTGTATTATATTGTGAAATTTCAATAATTTATGAGGCGATAAGTCTACATTTCTCATTTGCAGCAGGATGTAGCAGGAACTAATTGTTTTTCTTCCTCTCTAGTTTAACTTTATTATGAACATGAAGAATTGTACATTCAGCCTTCTCCTTAAATAGTTCAGATTTTGTTATCTACGGCAATACAAATTCCACGATGCCCTCGATGCTAAAAAGTTCATAAAATATGCAAAACAGACATCCCAATTGGCATTAAAGTGGTCTTAAAAAATGATTTATTACCATCATGGTTTACGCTTAATACTTATGTAATTTAAGACTCCTTAACATGTTTTTCAAATTGTATTGAAAACATTTAAAAATTGTATATTGCAATTTATTTTCTTTTTGCATATCTCATTTGTGACCTCTGAGTTCTCTAGTTGACCACATTTCATATGCAAATAGCAATTTGTTTTCAAGTTAGTGCAATTCATATTCATACGATTTCAAAATTGTAATTAGGTTCCACACAATATAAAAAATTACACATTGAAATTCAATATCAAGTGATTTAAAAGTAAATTGTCATGATTCGTATTAATACAGTTTAAATTTCGAATATCGCAAACTGTATTCAACTATTTAAAAACCCAACATTGTCATTCACATTCATACCTTATAAAAATTCTGTATCCACCATTCAAATTCACGCTATTTTAAAAAAGATGACCCTGTCACAAGTGTTGCAATTATTGTCTCTGGTCAATCTAAAATTGCATTCAACGAGCTCTGTGTTAACTTCTGAGTGCTAAACAATATTTTTAAATCTCCAATATATTTCTATTCAAAATGTGACAAAATTGTTTATATATTCAGACTCAAAAAGTTGCATTAAAGCTTTACAGAACAAAGATTTAAAACCTCACTACATAGCATTAAAAATAACAGTTTCATGACAACTTGTCCCAAAACGAATATAAAAACATTTTCTGTTTAGTTTCAGGTCATGCTGAAATTCTGGATAACAAAATAACTCATGGCAATATCAACCCCTGCATATCTGATATATCATACTTTTTCAGACATTTAAATATCTATTGACCAAAATTTTAATTAATACTAGCAAAAATAATTGAGTAAATGAAATATAAGCAATATATGTATCATTAAACCTACTATAGAGCCTTTTAAACAGCTGAATATCAGTTGGTAACTTTAAATACTTTTGAATTGCTCGTGCTTCGAACTCATACGGTTAAACCACTTGCACCTATTGTCAATTGAACCTGCTCCCAAATGTTATGTTTGTAAGGAACTGCTTATCGTTTAAAAAATTTAGATCGAATGTGGTAAATTTGAAATTCAAAGATAAAACCATTTTGGTAGCTATAATCCACCATTGCTGTTACTAAAAGAAAATAAACCTCTTAATAACTTATATCTTAAAAACATTAGATTGCATACATCACTTTAGCTTTGAAAAAGAGTTTGTCAAAATTGTAGTTTTGCTTGGAGTAAAAGAAGTTAAAAGCACTATGTTTGATTATGTTCAAGTTTTCTTTTAAAAAGATGGATAATTTGCTTTATACTGATCAACAAATAGATTTTTTTAAATATTTTCTTTAAAATCTTAAAAAAATATTTACAGCATTATTAATTTATTCAAAGTTTTTTTTCCTGTTCCATTGTCTTCATTGTTATTTTTAATGCGCTGAAAACAGTATTTATTAAACTTTAATTTTTTAAATATATTTCAGTGTTTAAAAGAAGTTTGGATTCATCAAGTAAAGATTTATTTGTGGAGTTTGCTGGCAACAAAGTTAATGAATTTCAAATCATTAATCTTCATGATGCCATTGCTGGTGATAATGTTGTTGCCAACTCTTAAATTTATTGAACTATTTATATCATTGTAATTATATCTTTGCTGTTTGCAAATTATTAAGCACCATTTATGTGTATTAGTGATGCTATATTGTGGATGACCTAATCATGTATTACAATTTAAACTCTCTAGAAAATTTTAATTGTGGAAAATGTCACAGACATAAGACTGAACTAGTCATAAGTGAAGTGGCTTTCTGTTTTGTGACATCAGCTTTGTAGCTTTGTTTTGTTGAAGTGTATTTCTGTTATATAAGTTGACTAGTTGCATATACTTATTCCATTGTGTTCTTTTTTATATCAATCTTATTCTATGTTTTTGCTTTGTTAAAAGTTTGTTATAACTTAAAAAATGTGGTTAAAATGTTGTAAGAAAGAAAAGTAGCAGATCTTTGAGCAAGGTAACATTTTTATCCAAGGAGGTGTATAAATGTTGTTTTAACAGTATTTTGAAATGGTGAAGCAATTTTTCCTTAAGACACATTTCATGTATATTGTTTGAATTTATATATGAAGAGTGTAATGATTGCTTATATCTCTTACCATTTTTTTGTTTTCAAAATGTAGCTACTTCTGTAGTAAGAATTAGATGAGACACATTTATATATTTTCATGCTTTTATTGCCTTTGTAGATAAATGCTTTTAATTGCATTTATCTAGCTTTTATGCATTTTGTAGCTTTACTAATTTTTAACAAATGAATATGTTGTCACTGGTTGACTTACAGAAATTTACTATTAAACTTCATATTAAATATATATGTTACTGGTTCATAACTTTTAATAAACTATATGCAAATTAAGTAGGAAATATTTCATTCTATTTTCAATTTTTTTCTTTTATTATACTTTTAGTTTTTTCTTAAGTGTAACCTATTATTATGATCTGAAGAATCCTAATTAGTTAAATTGTTTGATTCAACTTCATAAAACTGCTGCATGCTCTAACAGTTAACCAATACAATTTTTTAATGCTGTTATGATTGAATCTCATTTTTAAAACTTAAGCTGTTTCTGATAATTTATTTTACTATTGGAGAGCAATAATACAGCATTGATTCACTTGTTCTTAGCTTTTTGTTCTTCCTATTTCTTCTATCTATTTTTGCCCTGTTGAAACAGTAGTTTTTGTTCAATCTTGAATTTTTTTGCTCAAGATATATTGTGCAATTAACTAACAATGCATAGACAAAGCTTTTATTATTTTGAGAGGCTTATAGTATTTACTATAACTGTTAAGTTATTTGTCATGTTCTACTATTTTGAAAAAAGTTATTTGCTGTTCTAAACAGAAATATTAAGATTGAGTAAATTTTATATTGCTGTTAGTATTAGACTATTGAATTTTCTATTTGTTCTTATAGTACAATCTGCGGAATCTATGGGGTTATTATTGAGTTTTTTTTTCTCAGTAAATTATATTTTAAAGGTCAGGCTCAAATCATCCACCCAAAGGGGCAATGGAGAATGATTGAAACCATACTTGATTAATAAATAGACAGGAGGGAAATTACAAAGTATAATATAACAATACTACAATGAAAAGGTTATAATAAATAAAAATTATTAGCAATTATTACAAATTTGCAATTTATCTAATTAGATAAAAAAAAAAATTACGGAATTGAAGGTACAAAATCTGGTAAAGACAACAAAATCCAATCAAACTCACCTTGTACTGGTGTCTGAGAAATTCCTAATTTATCAAATTTGTCTTAAAACTCTTGCAGAGTATGATATCCTTAGAACTTTTTTTTTACAATGCCTACTTTTCACCATGCAGGCATTTGAAGGACAGATTTGTTGGCCACTCTTTCAGGGGCACCATATTAGATGGGCCAACGTTGCTCCCACGTTAAGCACAGATAGTACAGAGAATGAAAGAACATCTATGCCTTGCCCGGGATTCAAACCCAGAACCTTTCTGACCCAAGACCAGTTCCCTAACCCCAACACAGGCTAGTCAGCTGCTCTTAGACCTTAATTTTCTACATTATACATCTTTACTTAAATTATTTAATTCACTATATTATGCAAGTATTGCTGCCAAGTTATTTGTTATTCCTTTATCATCAACATTGTCAGAAAGTTTAGTTATAAATACTTCTTGATAGCAATCTGCTGTTCTATTAGTCTATTTTTAGGGTATCTGTATTTATTTAATACAAGGTGTATTTATTTATTTGATAGCTTTATTTTTGCTTATTTTTCCAAAAAGCATATACTTGTAATATCAAGGTGAGCATAATCAAACTAAAGTCATTATCATCTTGGATGGCTTGGTGCTTTCCAAGCAAATTTAAAGTTTAAATCTTAGACCATAATGTGTGAGGCAAAAAAGTTAGAACCTTTCAGTGTTTGGAGATAATTTGATTACTTTTTAAAGACTTTATTTCTTTATAGTAGTATCATAAAGCATTTTCTTTCTAAACATTTATTCATTTTTAAAAGTTTATAATATGCATTACTTTTTTTTAATCTATATACCTTTGAAATCATTCTTTATTTCTTATTTTTTTAAAATTTATGCTTATCCCACATTACTCCAGGACTTATTTGTTTTACTAATCACTATATCATTTTGCCAGAATATTAAAGCACTATACCGAAGTATTTCTAAGCTGGTTAAAGAAAAAATATTAAATTATATCCTGTTTGTAAACAGTGTTTGCAAATGCCTCTGAATCAAGGCTTTCCTTAATACTTTTTAATAGCTTTATTTTTATTTATTTAAATATATGTATGTGTAGAGAACTCTTGATAAAGAGTCTATATATTTTTTTTTTATGTCTTAATTAATCAATAAAAACATTTATGTCCCCGAATTATAATGAATAGTTGTTTTTTTAGTTATTATTGAAGGTTAAATAAACATTTACTTGACAAATGTCTATTGCGTGTCTGTTTTTCTTTTATTGCTAAAACAATGTGTCCTTATTTTACCCTCTATATTCAAAATATCCAATAGCAGTGACCAAGAAATCATCCCTGTTGTTCAGCTATGGTTTTACCCTAGAAAATTTATTCCCTAATAATGACAAGAAATTGAATAATTAGCCTTTAAGTTTACTTTACAATAACAATACTGGAAACTTTTAAGTTTGCCATAACAAAAGGTAATGTTTTCTTGGAAGATAACTACTCTACCTTTTTATTCTTAGTACTACTAGATATTGGAAATTTTTTGTAGCCCTAATGCAATACAAAAACATTAACCTTAGTGGAATTTTTAAAATAAGTCAAGTCATCCTTTATTAGTTAAAAATTCACACATCCTGTAGTGTTTTATCTTGCATATTTTAAATTACTTTTTTGGAAAGCATTGTCATAGCTTATTTGGAATATTATCATTCCAACTATTTTTCATTTGAATTTGCATAACCTGAGTGAAATTATAAAAAAAAAAGACAGAGAGAGAAAGAAATTAAGACTGTCAATGAACTTGGAATATATTTGCTTAACTTAGCTAAAAATCTTAATGGCATAATTTGCGAAAATATTTTAATTGTGATTATTGAAGTTATTTGTAAAATCCTGTTTGTTGTTCTAGTTATAGTTGAGTAATAAATATTTATCTGAATGTTTTTACTGTGCATGCCTATTTATGATATAGCTTAAAAAGAATTGCTAAAATGCATCATATTTTTGATTTGTGCTGAAATTTTTTCTTTTATATTCTCTGCACATACATAGCTAATTTTGCCGTAAAAGCCAAGCATAATTATACACATGATGAAGTTAACATTTTTTTTATCGTTATTCTTTAACTCTAGTTCAGAAATGGTGTTATCATCAATGGTTTTGCAGTTAAGCTATATACCTATCTTCCTCAGGGGATTTACCTTTTTAGGTAAATACGGGATTCACAACCCCGAGGTACCCTAGTGATCTCTCCTCTTTCACTTTGTGTAAAGCTTAATCTATAACCATATTTTTTGTTACTTTAAATACATATATATATACTTTATGCAGTATAACACTTTACTATTATGATCTGCATATTTAGTCTTCCGGCATGCATTGTAAAATTCGAAGATGAGCTCTCATTTCAAACAATAACAAAAATTTATTTTGTTGCATTAGGCTTACATCTGCCTTCATTGAATTCCTAAATCAATCTATATTACATTTACAGCATAAGACGCCTTCTAGTGGCTCTGAATTACATTTTCAATATAAGATGCTATTGAGTGGCATAATTATATCAGATTCTACAATCTCTCCCCCCAACCACCCCAAAAAATGAACTAAAAAGTTCATTTAACTTCAAATTAACAATAACGAACATAAAATGCTATAAAAATCAGGGCTAAAGAGAATACAAGGGCTAGTTCACTCCGCTCTTAGAGCTGAAGCTACGATTTCCCTCCTCATGACGTCACTGTGTCTACAGATCTCGGAGATCGCAAGCAAAGATATGATAACTTTGCATCTTTCTCTTGTAAAAATAAGTTAGACTTTTTCTGGTTATTAGCCTTCAAACTTTACGTAATTAACACATTATTTCCGTTCATAAACATAGTTCAAAAAAAA